CCTTCTATGTGAAGCGCTTTGAGTGCCTAGAAAAGCGCTATATAAATGTAATGAATTATTATTATTATTATTATACTGTACAAACTGCATATTCTAGCCCAACCCTAAACCTACCCATCACGGAATGTTAAAAAAAAAAACATAACTTAGTATGATTACACATAAGGACCAAAAATGTTCTCACAAGGACAAGGATTTTGGTTATTGCCATCTTTGTGAGGACATTTTGGCCCTTAACGTAGAGTTTACCTGAACCAATACAGTGAATTTCCATTTCATGTCAGCTTTAAACACCACATCACATATACTGTACATAAAAAGGGTTTCTGTGTAGCTTGCTCTACATGTGTATTTCATCTCTCTCTCTCTCTCTCTCTCTCTGTCTGTCTGTCTCCTGTATGTTTGATCTTGTATGTAGCGATTTCTCTCTGGGGTTCTTAGGACAGTGCGTACAAATCAGACACTGTCAGTAGCTAAACTAAAGTGCTAGTTAAACTAGATTATTAGAAGTAAAAAATCAAAGAGCTCCAAGAAAAACATACAGGTGTTTTTGATTCACAGTTGAGGAAGCTTCAGGACTCTTTGTACAGATATAAAAGGGACTTTCATGTTGTAAAGGAAGAGTTTCTTGGCTCATAATCTTAAGACGCAGTAGGGTGTAAATTAGGGAAACATTTCTAACATATGTTTGTTCTTTTATGTCATGTTTGATATGTTTGTTCAGATCTGCTGCCCACTGTGTCAACACTGTTTCCTTTTGTTTTTGTCATTCATTTCCTATTAATATACTATCAGAGCTTGTGAACATTTGTGGTTCTGCAATTCCCTCAACATATTGGGTGGCTGAAATGCATAGCTGAATTCCCAATTCACAAATGTCGAAAAACAAAAGTACTTGATATTATACTTGAAAAGGTATTCTATTCCGCCACCTTTCACCTACTTTGAGTGCATTTGTGAGCATTTAAAGGGCTAACTGAAACTGTTTCAGGCCTGTTGTCGTTTTTACATGTTCTGCGCTGTCGGCTGTTTCCCCACACGAGTGCACAATCAATACAAACAGGTCGATTCACCGGCCAAAACTGGACAGTGGCAGTACAGTATGGGGATATACTAACAGTGTGTTTGGGAATGTCCCTGTATCTGAAGATGCAAACTTCTCTGCTACACAGTGTGCCACATGAACCGAGGAGCCGTTCGATTCAGGAAAGCTGAAAAATAAAACAAACTGAGCTTGGCAAATCTTCAAATGTAAGTGTTAAAGACAATAGTTAGAAACTAAGAAAATAGTTTTTATATTTTTTGTCCGTACACTACCGTTTATAAGATTTTTTGTTTTATGTTTTTGACTGAAGTCTCTTATGCTCAGCAAGGCAGCATATATTTGATAAAAAAATACAGTAAACCAGTAATATTGCGAAATATTACAATTTAAAATAACTGTTTTCAATTTGAATTCACTTTAAAATGTCATTTATTCCTCTGATGGTAAAGCTGAATTTTCAACAGCCATTACTTTTAGTCTTCAGTGTCACATGATCCTTCAGAAATCATTCTAATATGTCGATTTGGTGCTCATTTATTATTATTGTTAACTATGTTAAAAAAAGTTATTGTTTAATATTTGTGTGTTCAACGTTCTTTAACGAATAGAAATTTCAAAAGAACAGTGTTTATTCAAAAAAGTCTTTACTAACACTTTTTTGGTAAATTGAATTAATCTTTGAAGAATAAAGGTAAATGTCTTTTTAAAACTTTTGAACAGTCATGGGTTCATCACAGTTTAGAATTTTAATTTAATTATAATTTTGGGCCTTATTAACGAAACACTTAAGATCGTATTCTGTTTCAGAAGTTCAGTAGAATCATAATTCAATAGGATTCAATAGGAAACTTTGTTCTGCCTGTGTTTGATAAATAAAGGCCTTTGTCTTTGGAAAACACACTGCTGTATTTATATTCTTAATCTATCAAAATTATCTTAATGTTCTTTTAGCCTCTCATGTCTTTTCTCATTTTTGGGGCGGTAGCTTTTTCTCTTTTATGAAAACTTGCACGTCAGACTGAATATTGGTGCGTTTGTCATCTCCCAACAAAGATGAATATGGAGCAGAATGCTAAAGGCAACAGAGCAGTATTTCAGTCTGCTGCCTGAAGTTTTATGTCTCTCTTTTCTTTCTTCAATCGACTGTCGCTGTGTAACATGATGGCGAGTGCTCAGGGTAATTGTGCGCAGGTCTTTGAGATTACTATCTTGGCAACCAGCCTCTTGTTTGGCTAAGAGTGAAAGGCTGAATAATGTGGACAGAAGAGGCTGGAGTGGAACAAAACACATCATACTCAAAGTGCCTTTGAGAAACAGTGCAGACCCATCAAAAGGAGAACAACAGTGAAGCTCGGGACACCCTGAGGAGAAGGCAATAATTAAACAAACACTGCAGGTGTACAATAACCATGATTGATGCATAGGATTTCTATGACAAGTTTGCTCTAACAGGTGGAAGTTTATTCTTATGGCACGTTTGTTCTTTCTGATTTTGTTCTGGAAGCTGACCTTTGTGGAATTTTAAAACGTGTGTGGAACAATGCGTGTGTTCACATCAAAATAAACTTTTAAATCAACAATGGCACACAATGTTTTCTTTTGGAGCAGTCTTATTTATGTCTTTGTAGATCTGAATCCCTGTTGGAATCATTTCCTATGGGATTCAGTTACAAGTTTTGCCAATATTTCCTCTAGAAAATGGGGGGAAATTGTCACGATTTGCTCACCCTTTGTGTCACAAAAAATAATTATTCTTCCTTGGAACTTTAAGAATGTGGTATAACTTTGTGTGAGGAGTTGAAACTTGAAATTGTTACTCTAAAATTTAAGTCAAATTTGTTTTTGAGTGGGCTAATACTTTCAAGAAATAGTTCACTCCAAAAAAAAACATAATTTATGACTTTTGAAACTGATTTTTTTTATTGTACTGTCCCTTTAAGAGCTCCAACATAGACTATATGAGTTGTGCTGTTGTCGTCACCTTTATTAATATAGCGCTTTATACGAGAAGGGTCTGGCTGCAGACTTGCACTCTCAGACTTGCACGCTCAGACACGAGCGCTTCCGCTGCAAGTGACGTCACTTGCAGTCGACACCTGCTCTCCGCTACCGGCTGTGGCGTCACTTGCAATCCCTTGTTCTCCGTGTTATTTCACAGAGTCGATTGATGCCAGATTTGAAGATAGCCAGCAAGTGGTGTTTGGATCAATCTAGTGCACTGTATGGTTCTGTTCATTTGCCCGAAGTAGAGTGTATGGAGGAACAAGACGTTGCGGAAGCCATTGAGAGATTAGAGAAGGCTGAGTTTCCACAGGACAGAATCGATGCTCTGGAACCCTTTTGCTTCATCTTTACTGTAATGAATGACATGCAAATGTTTCTTGAACATGTAGTCGATGTCATGAAATTAAAGGTAAACTGTCGAACTACACTAGAGCAAAGTGAATAATGTGCTAATGTGTTTTTATATATGTTGTGTATTGTCTATTTCTACCTTGTATTTGTCTGTTTTGCACATTAACTGTGTGTAATAACTGTAAATTGACATTTACAATAAAAAGAAAAAAAATGCATCATCTTGATGTTTTACATCTACAAACTGTTCCCACAAAGTTAGGAGCATGAAATTGTCCAAAATGTCTTGAAAATAATTAAATATATAATAATAGTAAAAATAATTTCTTTCTTTCTCAAAACTGAGTTTTGATTTCTAAGTGATCAATTTATGTACAAGTGTTTTCCCACATGATTGGCTGTAGGTCATCAGTAAATTAATGTGGCATTTAAATGCCAGTGTTTCCCAAATGAAACACAAGAGCTGTTAGTTTTGAATGATGTGTGTAATGTAGAGAAATGTGTTTAGAGTTTTGCAAATAGTTTGTTTTTCAAATGCAAACTGAGTGCAAAGCATATAATGTCCTTGTATTTTTGCAGGCTTGGTCTAAAGATTGGGTACATGAGTGAATGGTTTCACTGAGTGAGCCTCAAATTCCACTTGTAGTGTTTTAGCAATTTGAAAAAAACTGTCAACAAAATGACAAATGACACCTTAACACGACCAAAATGAGCGTGTCTACGCGTTCAAAAGAAACACGTCAAAAATTGCCGCGGACAAACACTTCGTGTTGACGCGGTCAAATTTCACACGTTTCGTTTAAAGACTATTACGATCGCGTTCCGTAGAGATCAGGCGTCGATTGCAAGTGACGTCACTTGCAGAGGAAGCGCTCGTGTCTGAGAGTGCAAGTGACGTCACTTGCAGAGGAAGCGCTCGTGTCTGAGCGTGCAAGTCCGAGAGTGCAAGTGACGTCACTTGTCTGCAGCCAGACGCTATTGCTTTATACAGATTGTTTCAAAGTAGCTTTACTTTGAAACAATCTGTATAAAGCGCTATATTAATAAAATATATTCCTGTGATAAACAGGAAAGTAATGATTCAATGATGCAAACAATTCAAATTCTGCTGTAATGCAGCTCTAAAAAGACGATAGTAAATGGTCATTATTCTTCACTTGAAATCAGTTCAGTGTTGAGTAATAAATGTCTAAAGTTCATCAGTTCAATTAATCTACGTATAAAGCAGCTCTGGAGAAAACAGTTGTGCCGATGTAACTGCTGAAGCTTTAAGATTTGCATTATATTGTACATAATCTATTCAATAATAAACTTAATCTTAATCAAGGTCACTATTCTGAACTTCTGTGGTCTAGAATGTCACATGATTATGTAAACATGAAAGTTTGAGTAAAGGGATTCATTCCCGACTGTGTTCATGTGTAATCATCATCTGTTGGTTCAGTGATTCATTTAGAAATGTGCCTCTCCTTGTGCTGTCATATCATCATATTATACAGAACGGAAATAAATATGTAGTGGTCAATTATAAAGTAAAAAGAAATGAGTATATTTTGCATGGATGAATATCTCTTTGTTTCTGTGTCTTTTCTCTGTTTAGCCTCGTCTCTAGTGTCTCACAGGTTTGTGACGGTGCGACGGGGGAGTCCAGCAGCACGCAGTGGTCAGATTCAGCCGGGGGATCAGCTGGAGGCCGTGGAGGGCAGATCAGTGGTCACGCTTCCTCACAGAGACCTCGCACAGATACTGCGCAGAGCTGGCAACAACCTCAGACTCACCATTATACCACGCTCTCACACTAGTAAGCACACTAAACACACATAAGGCTTTTCATTTTGCTTGACTGTTTTTTTTATATATATATTGTATATTTGTTCATACACTACCGTTCAAATGTTTTTAAAAGAAATCTTATGCTCACCATCAAAAATACAGTAGAAACAGTAATATTGTGAAGATTTTTTACCATTTAAATGAACTTATTCTATTTTTATATATTTTAAAATGTAATTTTTTCCTGTGATGCCAAACCTGAAATTTTCAGCATCATTACTCCAGTCTTCAGTGTCACATGATCCTTCAGAGATCATTCTAATATGCTGATTTGGTGCTAAAGAAACATTTCAACATTATTAGCAATGTTGAAAAAAGTTGTGCTGCTTAAAGGGATAGTTCACCCCAAAATGAAAATTCTGTCAGTAATTACTCACCCTCATGTTGTTCCGACCCCATAAGACTTTCGTTCATCTTCGGAACACAAATTAAGATATTTTTGATTAAATCTGAGAGCTGGATCACTCCTCCATAGGCTTCTAAAGGGATTGAAACTGACCGGCCCATAAAAGTTAAAGACATCGTTAAAATAGTCCGAGTGACTACAGTGGCTCAATCTTAAGTTTATCAAGCGACGAGAATACTTTTTGTGCGCAAAAACAAACAAAAATAACGACTTTATTCAACTATTCATTTCCTTCTCTGTGGGCCTCGAGATTTCACAGTGAAACTGCGCAAAGCTTCTAGGTTGCACGTCTTAATGTGATACATTTTTTCAGGATTCTTTGATTAATAGATATCTCAAAAGAACAGCATTTATATAGAAATCTGATATAGAAGTCTTTACGTCACTTTTGATCAGTTTACTGCATCCTTGCTGTCGAAAAAAGTTTTTTTTTTACTGATCCGAAACTTTTTAATGGTAGTGTATATGCATGCTTGTTTGTTTTTATTGTGCATATCTTAAATTTTGTATTTGTTGTACTCTTAAGTGCCTTGAGAAACTTGCTGTAAATAGTTAATTATTGTTAATAATACTATTTATTATTTAACAATTAATTCAACGAATTAATTCAATGAAATATTTTATTTATTTATTTGTCAAATAAAAAAATTATTATTGTGTTGCAAAAAATATTCTGAAATCTGGAAAATGTTGATGTTCCATCAATGTTCCTTCTGATAGACTTTGAGTTATATTTTCAACAGTCGCCACAAGAGGGTGCTGGTGTATAGACCCGAATATTAAAGTGCGTGTCAAACTGACGAGTGTCTATTTTTCTGTCAGACAATAATCTGCCTGAGTACCCTGACTTTGATGCTGAGAGCCGGTTAAGAAAAGGGCATCGGGCCAAGCAAAAGGTGAGGCTACATACATGCGCTCAGAAATATGTGATAAATATATCTTTTTTCTAAATAAATGAGGTCTTACTCTGCACGAATAATAATTATAGCTGAATTAGCATGCTCTTTAAAATAGTTGGAGCATGTTATCTAAACTCTCTAAAAGTATTTCATACCCCACACCCTGATCCACATAAACTTGCATATGAAAATGTCTCTCTCTGCAGGATTCCCAATTTTACAGCGTTGATCTTGAGAGGGGCCCAACAGGGTTTGGCTTTAGTTTGCGAGGTGGAAGCGAGTATAACATGGGTCTGTATGTACTTGGTCTGATGGAGGGCGGACCGGCCTCACGCAGTCAGAAAATTCAGGTGTGTGTGTACAGTACACTCATAAACTGCTCTTTGATTACAAATCAAGTAAATACAACATTTCAATCGATGCTGTCAGGAAAGTTTGAAAGTGTGACTCAAACACTAAGGCCCCGTTTACACTGCATGGTGACCCAAATCATGTGGCACAGATCGGATATGACCCATGAACGTGTAAGCAGGAAAAAAAACGCATGGATTCCGATTTTCTCAGATCGGATTCAGGCCTCACTCATATGTGGTAATAAATCGGATATGAATCAGATACGTGCATTTGCGTGTGCCATGTAAGCAGACAAATCGGATATTCCCCAGTAAATGCGAGTCGTACGTCATTAAAAAAGTGACGTCAATTCAGGTGGACACCACCAACTGAGATCACATGACTTATTATAGGCGCGATGGAGGACGAAGGATACACGCAGTGGAGCAATGCGGAGGTTTCATGTCTTTTGAGTGTTTGGGGCGAAGAGACAGTGCAGGCAAAAATGCAGGGTTGTTACAGAAATAAATCCATGTTTGAAGACATTTCACGAGATATGGGGAGGCACGGGTTTAAGCGGTCAAGGCTACAGTGCCACCGTAAGATAAAAAGCTTAATGACTTTTAAAAATATTGTGGAAAGCAAAACACTGGATAATTTTATTCGCATCTGCATCCATTGTATTTCTTGCTGTTTTACTTCCTTTTCCGGGTCAGAATGTCTACATTTGGTAGTTTCAGCAGTGTATAGTGTAAATGCAAAAATCGGATACGGGTCACTTTTAAAAGATGATGTAAGGGGGTCGTCAAAAAATTCGGATAATATAGTCAGAAAATCGGATTTGGGCATCAAGACCTGCAGAGAGTCATGTTGTTAAGATAATGCTGAGGCATGCTGGGTGTAGGTGCTGTTGTTGACATTACGCTGAGTCACAGAGGGTTTTGCTGACTTGTGTTGCAGGTGAGTGATCAGCTGGTGGAGATTAATGGAGACAGCACAGCCGGGATGACACACAGCCAGGCCGTGGAGCAGATCCGAAAGGGAGGAGCATGGATACACCTTGTACTGAAGAAAGGCAACGGATATGTACCGGATTATGGTGAGGGGGGGACAAGGGTATGAAAAGAGGGTTCAAATAATTTATCTTATGATCAGAGTAATGTTCGAAAGATGGCCAATGTATTTTACAAGAGTTCTGCTTCCCTCTTATTGTTAACAGGTTTACATCTGTAGATCAGATTCTTCTAGTCAAGACCATGGGTGGGTAAGAGGATATTTGGAGATTGTGTGTTGAAATATTACAACTGTCCATGAAAACTTAATGGAGAAAAACAAGGTGATAGACATTCAGGGTTTTACCAAAAAACATTGAGTATATAAGCCCCAGTATATATGCCCGTCCTCTTGTGCCACCCATGGTCTGGACTGAAGCTTCTTTCCTTTCCTGCACTTTTTGCAACTCTGCATTGGATTTTTCCTCATTATTTACTGCTTTCTCTTTCTCTCTTTTGCTACTTTATACTTTTGCTCTCTTTCTCTCTCTTGAACTCTCCTCCAGTGGAGCTTTCCAGCTTATCTCTTTGTATGACTAACTCCAAGCAGGGCGAGCCTTGCTTCTATGTCATCGGCCGGACAGAAAACATGCGGTTGGTAACCGTTCCTGTTGGTTGTCTTTTTGTCTTTCTTTATGTTCATCATCTCGCAGTTATCATATTGCTTTCTACATTCAGCCTTTTATGTTTCATATAACTAGAGGTGTCATGTTAATAAATATCAAATATATAATATTATTATATATTTAACAGTGTGTGTTTGTGATTATATGTTCAAAAGCGTGGGGTCGATAAGATTTTTTTTTGTTTTGGAAGAATTCTCTTTCGCTTACCAAGGCTGCATTTATTGTATACAGTAAACATAGTAATATTGTGAAATATTATGACAATTTTACAATAACAGTTTTCTATTTTGATATATTTTAAAATGGAATTTATTTAATTTAATACTTAATATTTTTGAGGAAACCATTATAAATATCTTTACTATCACTTTTGATAAATTGAATGCTTTCTTGCTGAACAAGAGTAATAATTTATTTTCTTTTTTTAAACTTACTGACCCCAAACTTATATAAGTGTTTATAATAAAAAAGTTATACCGGTAATACAAATTATTATTATTATTGGAAGTTTATTCCAAATTTATTCCAAATTCACAGCAAATATGGAGTGAATATATCACTCCAAATCTATCACCCAATATTTCTCAACTAAATTTGCTGGGTAATTGCTTTTCCATTAAATTGTGGCCTTAAATAAAGAAAGATCAGTGCATTGCAAAGATTCCCAAGGTCTTCTATACTGTATATTGATTTGGCATACCCATAAAAAATAACCATACAATAATAATAATTTTTTTAACAATCAATTTTTCAAAATGCTGATTGCTGATGCTGTGTTTCACTGGCATAATGTAGTTTATTCAAGCATTCAGAAAGACAGAAAACCATTTCTCACCCGCCAACTCCATCACATCCCTTTACTCAAGTTAAAATTGCAGGCAGTAACCCCTTACTGATCTCAGAACAGTCATTGGTGCATCACATGGTTGCGTTCCCTTTCATCCACCCACTCCTCCATCATCGAACCCTTATCTGACACCTCATTTGTAGTTTTACATGAAGATGGGCTGATAGTGTTTTATCATTCAACTCTCTCTTTCTCCTTCTCTATCTCAGACCATGAATCTGGAGTTGTTTCCCCCTCCTCCCTCTTCTCCAAGGAGCCGCGTGTGGCAGCAGTAGATCGCTCTCCTCCGAGCAGCAGATGGGTGGATGATAGTGGACGAGAGAGGAGAGAGAGGAGGGGGAAGGGAAGGAGGGAATCAGAGGGAAGGAGCAGAGGAAGAGGAGCCGTGGAGGGCAAGCGGGGCTGGGCGGAGGATGTTAGCACGGCCGGAAGAAGAAGAGAGCAACAGATGCGTTCGAGGAGTTTACCTGGCACGTTGAGGGGTCGAGAGGGGCCGCGGAGAGGAGAGGAGGAAGAGGAGGAGGACGGCACACGGGGGGAAAGGAAGGGAGAGGGGGAACAACAACGGAGAAGGCAGAAAAGCAAGAGCAAGGAGGAGGAGGAGGACGGCACACGGGGGGAAAGGAAGGGAGAGGGGGAACAACGACGGGGAAGGCAGAAAAGCAAGAGCATGGGGGAGAGAAGACAAAAAGTGAAGGATGTTAGTTCAGAGAGAGAGAACGGCCTCCCTGAGAGGGAGAAAGGGAGTGTCAGAAGAGAAAAGAGGGATAACAACGGAACCAGCACAACAGAGGTCACACCGCGCGCACCTTTCTCCTTCCTCAAGCCTTTGGACAATGACGACGATGGGTCAGGTGCAGAATCGGCTCACAGCATCTCTGAAGTCGGCATCGCATTCTCCACTCAGTGGCCTCTACAAGCCCCTGGATCTTCGACAACACCTCCGGGACCCTGGCTAGTCCCCAGCCCTCACAAACTCTCTCAGGTTTTAGAGAGGAAAAGGCTGAGCCAGAATAAGGGAGGACTGTGGTCCTAATGCTAATTCCCTTAAAAGGATAGTTCACCTAAAAACTCGCCCTCATGTTGTTCCAATCCCGTATGATTTTCTTTCTTCGAGGAGAAATTTTGAAGAGTTGTACTGGTTGCTCTTTTCCACATGAATGAATTGGAAAACTGAAGCTAAAAAAAAAGATGCAAAACCACCAAAATATTGTCCATACAACTTGTGTACTATATTCCAAGTCTACTGAAGTCATAGGCTCTGTCCCAAGCGGAACCCTAAAGCCCCGTTCACACCAAGGATGAAAAATCTAACGATAACTATAGACCACATGTGCCAGAGAAACAAGCGCGCAGCCATCTTTAGAATTTTGTCTTTGACTTCCGTTATTGTGGTAGTTCTGTATATTTCTATGGCATCGCTGTCAAAGAGTAATTAGCTGGTGAAGTGGATTTACTTATTGTAGAGTTAACTAAAGTTATCATGAGCATTGTAATGTTTGAAGCGGATGTCATAACAATAGACAGGGAAGATTTTTAAACGAGCGGTTCATTTATAAATGTGGAAATACAAACCGGAAGACAACAACGAACACAACGAGGGCAGCACTGAAAATGGGCGGGGCTACATGTCTATAAAGTTTTAATAATCATTCTTCTAATTCTATGAGAATAGTGGAGTTCACACCACAACTTTAACGATTATGACACAAGGGAACAATACCGTGGAATCAACCTCACAATGTTTTTTTTCCAGCTGATGAACGATTAAAAACATTGCCAGCCAATCATAATCCATCGTGCTTTAAAGAGCCTGACAGGCGACTTAACTGCAAGGTGTGCTGCTTATAATAAACAATGTTATCGTCAGTTGGTGCGGATGCCTATATAGTTATCGTTCTTGGTGTGAGCGGGCCAAGAGCCTTCGCAGTTTTCCTCCGAGTCCACACTTTTGTGACGTGATGCCGCTTTGATTGTCGGATAGAAGACTGCTGTGGAGTTGGTACAGCCAAGTTTAGTTTTCGTGAATCGAATCGACTGATTCATTAAAAACAATCTGACTCAAAAGAACAATTTGTTAATGAATCAGACATTGCTACTTTTCACATGAAGACAGCTGAGCTAGGGCAGATTTCAGTGAATAGAGATGCAGGCAAAATCCAGTCATTTCAATAGCAATCCCCGTGATCAGGAATTCTGCGCAAGGGCGAAAGATTCCCCCTCACAGATTTCGTATTTGGTTCAGTTGGTCATGAAGACTCGCCGAGTAACTTCTGTGTGAGCAATGCTTCATACATCGCTACACTATTGACAGTAGACAATGAATCTTTTTTGCCTGTGAAAAACTGAGATTTTGGTTGTTTTTCACACAAATATATTACATATCATATTGACTTTTAATATATTAACATAATATAGTTCTCAAGTCGTATGAACCACTTTTGTGATACTTTCATGGTGCTTTTGCATCCTTTTTATCTTGTCTTCAAAATTTCTCTTTCGTGTTTCATGGAAGAAATAGTCATACCTGTTTGAAACAACATGAGTGTTAGTAAATGCTGACAGATTTTTACTTGTTTGGTGGGAGGGGGTAAACTATCCCTTTAAATCTCTCTTCTCTTTTCTCTCTCTCTCACACATACAGCCTCTCCAGCCCTGTCTCTATTATGTGGTTTTCAGAACACCACCACCACCATCATATCAGTTCCTCTTCCGTCTCAAATCCATATCTATATGGTCCTGTGTGTGTTGTATTGGTATCATCCAGATACCGCAGAGGTCTCCCATCCAGGCCGATCAAGACTTGATTTTATTGCCATCTAGTGGCCAAGGAGAGATAATGAGCAAATGCTGCCATTACGTTGTGGCTAGCGTGACAGTAACTGCAAGGTCAGTTAGTATGCATCTATGATTCATGGTGTCCTTCATAGCATGTCTTTTTCATATCATTTGACATTTTTATTTAGCATATTTTCCATTTATTTTCATAAAAATACAACAAAAATTCTATTATATAAAAAAAGAAGATTTATTTAAAACATGGTTGCTCAGTCATGCCCCTGAAGAGCTACACTTCTGAAAGTAATCTAGATTGAAAAAAGATCTTCAGGACCAGGACTAGCACCCTCAATTTAAGAGATTTTATTAGCTGCTTGCTGTTTGTGACTGGACTATAACCCCTCTCCTGCTGTGTGCGCAGTGGTCTTGCTGTTGAAAGAGGGGGGGAAGGAAGATAACAGAACTAAAGTTTTATTATAAGGCCAGTGAGCCGTATCAAACCTCTCCAGGTGCCTTCTGCTTCTTTAGCCAGTGTTTACCAAAAAAAGAAACAAATACAAGTAAAAGAACAAGACGTAGCATAGTAGAAAGTGTGCAACACAATACTGTTCTGCCTCTTTAACATCTATATCTTTGCAAGACTTGGTTCACGAGTTGGGGAAAATTCTGCACACGCTCTGCGAAACTTCAGCTAAGTGAGTCAAAGTGAAAGAGAGCCATTACAAGTGCCTCATGCGATATTCCTTTATACGAGACATACAATTCCCTCAAGCTCATAATCAGGACCCAATTTTTTTTTTCCATTGTGATACTTTTTGCGTTTGTATGCTTTCTGATTCAATTTTTCAGACCCATTTCATTGGCCTCGACATTTCAGAAAAATTATGGGGGAAAAAAGAAAACGAAGGCCTGATTTGTCCTTATTCCCGAGCCCTCCACCAATCAGCACCCAGCATCATGCGGAATCTTCATTTCAGGAGACAAAAAAAAAAAGAAGAAGAAGAAAAAAAAGGGCATTTTGATACAGGTCTTCTATGCATTTTGTAAGACTTACTGATCAAAAATTGCGGTAGGAATTTTTCTACCTAAGATATGAGATTCGTAATTTTGTGTACTGTTAAAATACACAGGCTGGTGAATCGAAACCGAAAATTTAAAGGAGATCCGGTGATAATCAGACATGCTGTACCACCAGCTTATGCATTGATCTTTACCTCAGAACTGTCTGAGCAATAAGTGCTATCTCTTTCTGTTCAGTGTCATACCAAGCTAAGCTCTAGGCAAGCTCATCGAAAAAGCTGAGTGATAGAAATATGCACGGTAAAATCATCTATGATAAATTAATTCGAATGAAATGCATCCCTATAGACGTGCATTTTGGTATTTTAAAATAATATAGAATTTTATTAAATAGATTTTAATTTATTTAAACGAATTTAAGTATTCCAAAAGTTATATAAAGTTACATATTATAAATATCAGAATTTTATCAGCAGACATAACCCAATGTGGGTTAATTTATCACTGGAGATCTTTACTGTGCTAAAACATATCAATAAATGCTTGCATAAAAGATCACATGCGAGTTCTGTTGCCATACGCAGCCTGTAAGCATTTAGCAATTTGCGATTCGGAAAAGTGATACAATGATCTTAAGTGATAACACTTTAAATCAGGGCTCTTACACGAGTATTACACAGCGTTCAGCTGTACATCTGAAGTTCACTGCTCTCAGAATCCTTAACCAGCCTGGGTATTGATGTTGACTTTGTACCCGATTATCCCATTGGCATCAGCACGTACTGTACAGAAACTGGGATGAGCCTTGTAAATGTTTCGTTTCGGATTTATTTTTGTGAGGGGGGAGATTTTGTTTGTTTTCCAAAACGTTAATAGGCACTGTAGCATTTCCCTTACTGTAGCAGATCTTATAAGCAAGCTTATTGTACATAATTATAGACCCTGAACCTATCTTTTTTTTTAGATAGGGGTCCCCCCCCCCCAATGTCTCACATATCAGAAATATACAGCACTGTCGAGTTACCCTGAGACACGTGCAACATTTTAAACCGAGGTGCCATTGGCTTGACGAGAAGCTTGCTATTTAAAATTATTCTTATAATTCAATCTTGCATGTCTGTAGTGAGTATACTAGTTTTAATAGCACTGGCCCTTACAATTGAAATCAAATGTCCCGATGGCATGATACTGTATCCCACAGCCCAGGAGGCCAATCGCAATGTTTTATAGAACATCTGTTGTCAGTTTCAAATTATAAAAATCTGATTTGACAGCTTGAATGCCCACTAGTGCCCACCGTGGTTTTTGCACAGCCCTCTTCATTGTGTCCTCAACAACATATTCAAATCAAGATTTAGAGATACAAAGACCTTAAGTATGTAGTCCACAAAGATAACAATTAGCATGCCCACCAAACATTGTCCCGCCCTATATAGGTTTCCTCGTACCGGAGACAGTTTAGACCCTTAGATGTTCAGTATTCAGAGATGTAGTCTCAAAAACGAGCCATACTCTGAGCCAACAGATATATGAAAACAACAATGCAATGTTTTTTATAACAATGTCTGCAAGGTTCCTATCAGTGCAAATGTGCCATTTAAATGCTAATCAATGATGTCATTCTCTTTCCTCCTACCGAGAGAAATACAGCGGGGCAACGTTTGTCCCTCTGAGTTTGACGCTTTTCAAATGTCAAAACACGAACACGAGTGTATCAGCTTTGAATTTTCAACTTGAATTTGCTATATTGGCCTTGTAAGGAGTCAGCCATTGTACAGAACAAGAACAATTTTATTTGTAAAGAGGTAAAGGAAATGTTTTTATATCTATATTCTAGAAATATAGGATAAAAGTCAGCAGGGGTGTAAAGTACTTGAGCGATTATGTGCTTCATTACTATACTCAAGTATTATTTAAAAACGGAATATTTATACTTTTGCAAAATTACATTTCTATAAGAAAAAAGGCATACTTTTTTATTATTGTTACAATTTAATTTAGATCTTAAAAAGTAGGCTAAATATTACACTGGCCTAATAAGACTAATATGAAAACAGAAACTAAAAAGTAGAAATGTTGTCTTGGTAACTAACTGAAATAAAATAAGTTGGTAACGCTACAATAAGGTCTCATTTGTTAGCATTACACTGTAAAAAATTCACCCGTATATTTACAGTAAAGAACTGGCAGCTGTGGTTCCAGCCCTTTACCGTAATTTTACAGTTTCAACAATGCTGTAATTTTACAGTAAAGTACTGGCAGCTGTGGTTCCAGCCCTTTACCGTAATTTTACGGTTTCAACAATGCTGTAATTTTACAGTAAAGTACTGGCAGCTGTGGTTCCAGCCCTTTACCGTAATTTTACGGTTTCAACA